GTAGCCTGAGCCACCGTGCCTGGCCATTTTCTTTCTTAAGAAAATTTTCCACTGCATATGTTTACAAGACTTAAGTATGGGTGAAAGTTTGTCTAGCATGCAGCAGAATGACAATTCTCCACTTTTCCTGAAAGGCCAAAAGAATGACTTAGGCTATTACTGATATTTACTATAAATATGGACCAAATTTAATGACTTAACTACTAACACTGAAATTGCTTCTAAGATGATAAGTGAGGTAAGTATTACAGAATATAAACAGAATTTTGATATTCTCTCTGATACTGGATATTCCATGAATGCCAGGGGTCCTCCCAGAAGGTAATGCAAATCTTGATTTTTTTTTTATCTGTACGGATGCCATTTTTTAGAATCTGAAATTATTTTAGGACGGTGTAATATCCCCAGTGTCAATCATCCTATGATGGTAAATGAACTAGCACCATTTCAGTGAGTTTCACAAATAGTCTAACTAAATACCCATGAACAAATCACACATGGTCAAAACAAAAATGTAATAAAAATATTTAGTGAAAAGACACATTTTAAACTCCCATTTATGGATTTTAAAAATACAAATAAAATTTTATCAACTTGATATTCAGCTTGTAACTGGCTCAATACATAGCCTTGATTTATTTCCTAAAATCATATTGCAGCATCTTTTGAAAAGTTAATGCAACTTTATACCTTCATTAACTATGTTAATAGAGGTAAATATTTAACAGTACACTCATCCCTGGGTCTCTTAAAAAAAACTGAAAAGTCTTAGTGTAAGTTTAAAATTTTAATATTTATAAATTTAAAAAATTTTACACGTGCTGAGTGGTAGCAGTGCTAACATTTTGTGACCATTAAACCACAAACTCACTGCATAGAGCTTCTTTCTTTGTACAGAGAATCAAATCACAATACCAATATTTTGCAATTTGTCATAATTGTATATGTGGTAAAAGACACCACACCAGGAAGCCTGGACTCAGGACATACTTGAGGTCAGATCCCCAGCAGGTATATAGTGCAGAGGCGATATTTAATTTCAGGCTAGGAAAATTAGCTATTAGTTTGTATCTGACAGTTCCTAATAGCTAAGAGGCCAAAGAATGCAGACTGAAAAAGAAAACAAAACCTCTCCTCGACTGGGAAAGCCTGGGAATAAGAGGGGAGGAGCAAGCTTCAGGGGAGGCGGGGTGAAGAGGAGAGCCTTGGGGGCGGTGGGGGGGGGGAGGAGAGGCAGTCCACGCCTCCCAGCTGGGAGCAAGAAACCACCACAGCAGCTGGGAGCACTCCAGTCCACAAAAACTTCCACATGGAACACTGGAGGCCAGACACCCATTTGTTCATTCATCCTCTTTAAAACAGAATGAATGTCCATTATTAAGCGTATATCTTTACCTGAACCAAATATATTCTTTGGCTAACTATGACATGGGTTCTCATTAAAATCAATCAGACATACTTCACATTTCTTGCATTTAAATTAAAATATGTTTAAAGTTAAACCTGAACCATGGCACATCAATCTGAGCTCAGCAATATGCCTAATTTTGACATTTTTAAAGTTTAGAAAATCAATTATTAAGGAATTATTAAATGCAGTGTTTTCAGAACATAGTTACCAAGTCAGAGAATATTCACTTACATTTTAAAATAATTTAAAACATTATTGTGATATCCTCAAGTCAACTATGTTGTTTTGTGGAAAAACTGACAGAAAATTATAATGTTAAACCTCATATCCAAATCAGTTCCTTATTCTCTGGTTTAAGGAAAATTTTAAAAACCCTAGGAAGTACTGAGGTTCCTGATGACTTAAAAGGTTAACATTTTATTCAGGAGCCAATAGCAACAATGCACTGTCAGAGACAGCTAACTTAGTAATGTCTAATGACAACCACCTCTAACAACAGAGGCGGCGAAGAGATACAAATTATAACAGAGAAAAATAGTATTTCAGGGCTCAACTGACACTAGGAGACTTAAACTTGAAATCTTCAAAACTGACAGCCAGTTCCTTTCAATTCTTGAGGGGTTCACAGAATTATTAACAGAAATCGGAAACATGGTGGTATTAGAACTATAAGGATTTGATACTTTTGGTATATAAAAGATCAAAGACAGTAAGGGAGGTGTTAAATAATGCTGACTGGGGGTGATTAGATAGATGCTTGGTTCTGAAATGAAAACTGTGGGGAAAAAAGTAACCATTTCATCTGAACAGAGTAATGTAATAGAATTAGATACAGAGTTTACAATGAAATAAGACTGACTTCTTAAAGTTAGTTTGAAAAAAGTTGCAAGCTTGTTTACATAAAATGTCATACTTTATACTAGACAAAACTCAATGCAGTGATGTTAACATGCCGTTGTCTTTCAGCAGATGAAGAGACAGCCAGGCTTAAAGACCCAAATAACTGTGGGAAAGGACACTGTCAAATACTAGTCAAGTAGTTCTACCAAAGCAGCCACCCATCCAGCACAAGGACCATAAAAGTAAACCAACCCTTTTAAGGGAGCAACAGGTACACTATTACAGGTGCTGTTGCATGAATACAAACTGTGAAAATACAAAGTCTTCATTGATTGTGGGAAACAAATGAGTCAAGGAAAACGAGAAATAAGCAAAGGATGTGTGGAAAACTATAGGTGCTGAAGGATACTTCGTGAACAGCAGAAACGTAAAACACAAACTCTAGAAATCAGGTAATTGACAGTTGTCCCTTTAACATATATAAAAGAGGGTACAGATAACTTTTTTAAAAAAATGTTTTGACAACTGTCGGTTTTAATAGAAAAAATCAATTTACTAGAATTAAGCCAGTGTTCTTGATACCCACCAGGCCAAGAGCATTAAAACAAAACAAGATCTGAAAAGTTAATAAACAGCTAAAGACAAAACTGGCAAAATGAAACAAAAGGCAACTCGGACTAGACACATATCCAATCAGTCAGGCAAGTGTATTCACGAACACCCTGAACAGTCTAGTCGTTGTAATCCGGTGGCATCCCCACCACCCATAGTGGCGGTGGCTTTCCCCAGCCTAGGCTGCCACTAATCAACATTCTGGTGGTCACTTAAGTATGATTTGGTCCAATCTGAAGTAAATCTTGTTTTAATTAGAACTGGTCTAAAGAAATTGCGATATCGTAATAGGATCTGGGCAGATATAACAAATATATTCCCACCTGGATAACAGTTATTAAATAAGATGCCTTTTATTTAGCAAGGCATTCCTTTCCTAATCATCTTTATTTTTAATCACTTGATTATGGTTTTGTCATGGCCAGGAGACAGATCCAGTCAGTTGTATGGTTCAGAGCCCTTTGGTAGAGGGACTATGCTTATCACACACATATACACACACACAAATCACATAACTCACAACCACCCAGAAAGTCTGAGGGAGCTGGGAAACACAAAACACCAAAAACAATGCAAAACAAATGGATCACTGCTGCATGTCACTTCAAGTTCTTTAAGAAAAAATCTAAAAGTACTGTAAATGCATCATTGAAAGCATTGTTTAAAATACAAAAACGTGTATTTCATGAAGAGTGATATTAGTTTACTTCCTAGCAGTCTTTTAAGATGTTTTTGCTCCCTCTTAATTGCTACTCAACAGTGATCAAAATAAGAGAATGTTCTTCAAAAAACCACAGCCCTAGGCCTTGAATTCACTCATGCCTAATATCACATGCATGGGTAGGATGTCATCTAGCTGTACCAGTCTTGTTAACCTTAATCGTCAACAGCACAGAGTTGCACACAGCTTTGCATAGCCTCATGTATGAAGACACATGTGCTCTCTGCAGTCCAGATATGAGACTGCATGTGCAGGATGGATCAACAGATGGGTGTTGGGAACCACGGAAGGAGGTGTCAGAGCACCAGTGCCGCAGTCCTCTCCCCACACTATGGGGTGTGGGTCTGGCATTGCAGTGGGCGCAGTTTCCTATGCCTACTGTCTACCAATCACATTTCATGTCCATAATTTAAGCTGGCACAGAATTAGGGAGCATGGCAGCAATATAAAAACCTTGATGAGAAAGGCAGACTAGAGGACCTCACAAGGATTTTTAATCTCTGGAGTTAAGCTCACGTGGCTCCCACGATGCAAGGGAACAACCACTCGCATAATCATTGTCCCTAGAGCCCAACGTGCAACAGTCTGTGTGAACCAGTAATCACAGTCTCTAAAACAGTTATTGCTTAAGCAAGCCATTTAGAGTAGATATGTGCTACGTGGCTGGATAGAAACACTTAGGTTAGACTGCACAGGAATGGGCCTTTCATTCCACTTAGAAACCTCCATAAATACATCATCAAGAGGGGCAGCAGGTCCACAGCAGCTCACACCCTGAACCAACTCTGAAGCATCAAGACTTGATTTCCTACTCAAACAAATCTGCTGGGGATTTGTTTTATTTTGTTTGTATTTTCCTTTTAAAATTAAGGCAATGAAATGGCTACGGTTCCTAAAGTCATTTTTATGGAAGAAAAATATACGTGTATTTTCCTCCTCAAGTGCAGGCATCAGAGTATGATGAGAGACTTGTATCACACAAAATCTGCAACACAGGGTTGATGAGACAGAGAGAGAGACGAAGAAGAAGGGGGGGCGAGAGGAGAGAGAGAGAGAGAGAGAGGGACGGGGGGGAGAGGGGGAGAGAGAGGGGAAGAGAGAGAGAGAGAGAGAGAGAGAGAGAGAGACACACACAGACACTAAAAAAAGGTATAATTCCTGCTGAATCACAGACCTAATCATCAAAGGGAAGAGGAGCCAGAAAGCACAAAACTGCTTAAGAATTTTCAATGTCTTTTCTTACATTAATTAAGTGTTTGGGGATATGGAAGGGAGGAGCTTATTAAGGTGAAGATTCTAGGGTCCAATGACAGAAATTCTGACCTGAAGGTCTACAGTTGAACCCAAGCATCTACCTTTCCAACCAGCTCCGAGTGACGCAGGTGATCTACGGACAACATTTTGAGAAACATTGCCTAGCATATATCCACCTAATATTTAATGACAAAAACGCTAAACTTTGGCTAGCTACCTATGTTTTGATAAAAGGGGAAAAGGCACTGCATATGTATTTAATGGTGCCCATATCTGTTTGCACATATATGGAATTTCAATTTGAAAATTTTAAACCACCATTCAAAATCTAGAAGACAAACACGTGACAGATTGTGGTTAACACCTAACGGCAGGAGCTGAGGTGAAGCTGACCTCTCCTGTTTCATGGCATTACAGACACGTCAAAGCTTCAGGCTCCCCAGAGTCCAAGATGGCCCAGCAAACTGAGGACCAGGCCGAGACCCAAGTCAACTTTCAGCAGCTCAGTGCACTCTGCAGAAAGGATCTCTCTTAAGCATGAAGTTGTGTTGTTTATTTTACACAAAGGAGACCGCCAACATTTGCCATAAATTCTTCTAGACTCTTGAGAAAGGCCATCTTCTGCTTCCGGTCCAGAGTAGGAGGAGTGCTGCTCGCCGTGAGCTTGTTGAAGGCATCTGCTAATCTCTGGTAAATCACCGGGTCTTGTTGGCTGGACAGTAGTGTTTCGACCAGCTCCGAATACTCAGCCTGTTAAAGAGACAAGGGACTGTAAGAACGTCACACAAAGAGACCATGTAGCAACTGGATGCTCTAAAAGGCAGGAGCTGGCCATCCTCCTGAGTTAACATTCACTCTGTGCTGACTTGAGGAATGGACTACTCTGCTGACAGGAACTCACGGATCATTTACAGCAACGCCCCGAAAAGAGACAGATCCTGTTTATATCCCTAACTCAGAGATGAAAGCTTTGACAATCTGTGAGGTGAAGTGGCCCGTCTAAGATCCCTCACCCTGAGCAAGAGTCCAGGTAGTTTGGCTCCAGCACCCATGTGATGATCAATTTTGTGTGTGGCCTCATCTGTGCTTTCTAAGCACATCATTCATATCTGTTTTGTGTTTTACACATGACCTAAGTCAGGAACTTGAACCGCTTCTCGGAGGCTTACAGAGCTATCCTGTCTGCCAGTGCTGAGGACAGCAGACGGACACAGGGACAGGAGGAGGGGGAGGGAAGCAGTGCTTCGGAGCATGCTCAGCAAGGCCTGGATGCGCCAAGAGCTCCAAGCCAGCACGGCCCCCAGCGGCTCCCGGACAGGAATGGGGGAGGGGCTCTATTTTTAATACCCTCTTTTATAAAGTCCTATGCAGAGGTGTGGGAGTGAGTGCGAGCTTAAGGGAAACTCAACCAAGATAGAGAGAAGCTCTCCTAAATAAGCTAGACCGCCACTGTCTTGCATTAGCTTCTGGGGTATCAAAATAGACCGAAGTAGTGAAGCCAAAAGTGAATTCTATCTGGAAAAGAGGAGAAAGGAACAGCAACCCAATGCCCGGTCACAGGCATGGAGCTGCATGGCTGCCCTCACTGGCCTAGCCAAGGGACAGGCCTGCTCACAAGGGGGGCCACGCCTAATCGCCAGTCATGCCCCTTCCCACAAACGATGGCAGTGCCTCCAGGGCTGGCCAGCAGGGTCTCGCCACACCAGCCACTCCTACGTCCCTGCTCTCTTCCACAGTGTGTACATATGACACAGACAGGGGAGGGGGCAATCCAAACGTAGTGGTTCAAACATGTGGGCACAAGAAGCCTTCCTAGGAAGCAAGAAGGAACTCACATGGCAGGGCAAGGCCACAGACCCCAGAGCAGGCGCTGTCTGTGGGACACGGCCACCTGCAGTGGAGTCCACAGCCGGTGCAGGAAGTCTGCAGGAAGGGGGTCTTCAGGAAGTATGGAAGACCTCTCCAAAACCCTATCTTCCTCAAAAAGGGAAATAAAATGCCAACACTGCCCTTGCCAAACACTCAGCCACGCCAGGAAATTCCATGTGCAAGGAAGAGGGGGATGGAAACTGAGGCGGCAAATGATCCAATATGGTTGTTCCCATGCACTCGACATGCCTGTGCTCGCAAAACACAGTTGCTCTTCTGTGACATTAGCCCCGTTATCAGGGAAGGGGATCAACAAAACAAAATGAAATAACATGCTGTTTTTCACAACATGAAGCATATCGTCTTCTGTACTTCCTGAAGGCAGACTCCTCATCCCCAATCTTATCCATCTTGCCTTGCAAAACTGTGAGTTCCTCCAGGACAGAAGCCACCATCACTCACGGGCATATTCCTGGTTCCTAGCACAGTTGTTGAAGGACAGGCTTTGGGGCTGTGATTATTGCAAAAGATGGTTCATGATGGCGGAAGGGAAAACTAAATGCTTTTGAACTGACAACTGTCAGATAAACACGAAATAAAAAGCACTAATAAGAAAGCTAAGAAACAATGCATCACGAAATGGAATTTACAGTTCCTGCAAGAAATAGGGCATCAGTGACCCACCACCTATCTGAGTCCTCTCTTTGCAAGATGGAATGAGAAGAGTGTCCTGAAGATAACGTGTCTAGTACCTGGTGCAAACACGCCAACGTGTAGAAAGCTTCACCGGCCGCAGTGGTCATCTCTGTGTTGTGCTTTTGTAAAACCAGCATATCAAAAACCAGCTGAAATCACATAATAAGACTTCCAAATAAAAATACACGATGATCCTATAATCCTCCAGACCCTCCCAAAACCAAAAAAGAAAGGGAGGACTGGTTGTTATTCTATTTATTAAACCAATCTGAAATTAGAGAAAATAGTTTTTAAAACACCCAAGGATAACTTACAGATATTGCTACTTGCTGTGGTATCTGAATAATCAAATGATCAAATTTCCCATTACATTTACCACATTAGTTTTCAAGAATAAAGAGAGAAAAAGTGGATGAGAATGGATCCATGAACAGTTGATCTCCAGAACACACAGCAAACAGAAGAAAGTCACTTACCTCCTCCTCTGGGGCAGAATGGTGGTGTTCCTGAACTTGAATACAGAGACTGCACCCCTCGAGGCGGATGCTTTATCCACCTGTCACTCTAGCAGCTTACCTTAAGGAAGTGCCGTGTTGCCAGGAAGAGCGGTGAGTCTGCTTCATGTGCTTTTGCGCACTGTTCAGCCAACGGTGTCAAGGCCTCCAGGCAGAGCTGGCATACTTCCGAACTCATCCTGATCACCCAGGTCAAAGAACACACTGGCTGGATATGCTCGACTTAAAGGGTCAGGACACTACAGCTAGAAATCTAGCAGATGACTCCTTCCAGAAAGGAACACACCCCGGTGCGGAGACTCACAGGCAACACCTTTCTGGCTGCATGAGGAAAGAAGGCTCTGGGTCTCCTAGATGACCTGTAAGGGTTCTGGGTTTGAGTCTGGTGACTTGGAGCTTGTTTCTGCTTATGATGTCTACGACTACTTAGAAAGTCTTATTACTCTCCGGGAGTAATCAGGGAGCCAAGACAAGAGCCCCAGCAACAGCACATGACACGACCAGCTGCGGCCCTAGCCAAGGAGTGACGTTGGGACCAGGGACCAAGTGCCTCAGGGCTCTGAGAGAGGAGGCCAGGATGCGGCAAACCAACAAAAGAAACACAGACTTGGAGCGCACTGGGAGGAGACACTTTTTGGAGATATGAAACAACCACAAAGAAGAAAACTGCAAATTTAAAAAGCATTTCTTGAAGGTCTTTTCTCCCAAGTGACAATGCTATTCATTTAAAGGATATGACGTCATTCCTAGTTCTAGGGAGTACATCAGACTTTTGAACAGATCCTCAGGAAGCTGTGGTATTTTTTCAGGAAAAATCTCACAGATAAATGTGATTAATTTGTAGTACTGATTACAAAGGGTTGGAAACTGAAAAAGAAATATGACATATTTAGATACTCAACAGCATCTAATTTTTATTTTCATAAATGTAATAAAAGTAACTGACAAATTTCTAAGTATGATTTCTTTAACACACATACAAGATATAGAAAACATAAAGACCTAAGTACATGTGAAAACAGATTACGATAAAAGGTACGTTCTAGTAACCACTATGGAAGAAACAGACAATAGAAATAATTACCTTCTAGATAGTTAGTAAGAGCTACAGCCAATTCCATATACTCTATGTTTACCTTTAAAAAGTAAACAAGGCAGCCATATCTAAAAGTATTAAAGGACCCAGGAATAAAACCTCTTTTTAAATGTCTTTATATTTACTCAAGCATGTTGAAGAACAGAAGAAGATGACACAAGCTATTGAGAGTATGCCTAGAGCCAAGTGTGCATCTGCTCCGCTTCTCAAAGCTCCTTCTAGTGGGACGGTTCTAGAGGGGAGGTAAAAGCAGGCTGTCCGGCTTAACTGCAGTTAAGAAAACACACGCCTGAATTCAGAGCTGACCATACGCGATTATCTCCTGGGTGCTGCCTGAACACTGGGCTCATGGCGGTCAGCACTGCTTCCAGGAGCTGGAGGCATTCTCCAGAGGGACACCCGTGAGACCTGCTCTGCTGGTGCCTGGCGGCACTCCTGCTCTGATGCCCGCCTTCCTGGCGCTGTCGTTCTCCACACAATCTCAACTCTTTTCTACTCCCTGTCCCCTTCACCCTCATCTCATGCTTGTGTGCACACACACACGCACCCTATCTCCTTCTCCATCCATGCACTCGTCCCCATGCTTATCCCCAATGACAATTCATAACAGAGCCCTCGCCTCCCCTGTGGTGCTTATGGGAGGAAGAAAAAGGCAGCCTCACCACCACCACACTCTCAGTGTTGACTGGTGAAACCAAGGCACAGTGAAGCTGGAACATGCAAAAATGTCCAAACTGCATTAGTCTTAGTTTCTTACCATCCCATTTTTACGTACAGTAGCATGGAAAATGCCTTCCTCTACACTCAATCCATCAACCAGAGAATGATATTCAAAAGAATCAGAGGAACATGCTTATACATACGACTAACTTTATTCCCTTCAAGACAGTTGATGAGGGAATCAAAACTGCTAACAGAACTCAAGTTTCTGAAAGGGCAGGTGTTTTTTTCTGTCACACTCCCTGACAAAATGAATCACTGATGTATCAGGGCACGCAGGACTCTGGGGCAGGAACAGAGGACTGAGTGAGGGCCCGTGTTACTGAGAAGCACGCACAAGTAACCACAACAGAAATGTTATTTTCATGTGCACTTAACAGACAGAACTCCTTAATTGATCAGAGATCTCTTCTCATCTAAGATACCTTTGAACCTTGAGCACATAGAGCTTTATGTCCAAACTTGCTCTTTCAGTACCTTCAGAAGATCTTGTGACATCAAAGGCAGAATCAGGTTGACTCCATATAAAACAACGTCTGCTGCTGACACAGATCTGTTTGCTGCTTGGCCCGGCTCATGTCCTCGAAATACTTCATCTACCAAAATAAGAGGATGCGGTCTATGGCTGTAACATCAATACATTGCCAAGGCTCCAATGCTACCCTTATGAAATGAAAATACACCCAAGCCCTGGGCCATCCTTTGCACTGAATCTGTTAGGGGATGTGAGTGCTCCATGCTGCATGCAGTACTGGGGAGGGCTGGGGACAGGGGAGAGTCTAGAAATAAAAGCACCATGAATGCTTGGCCGATGTTCTAAAACATGAACTCTGCTGACATGCTACCCATACAACATCAACTGGACCTCAAGTGTGGGAAACATAGATACTAAAACGTTACATAAAAAAGAAAGCAGCTTAAAAATAAAGCAATCACCAAGTTCTCATTCTCAGTACATGTGACTGAATCTACATACAAAGTCATGAGAATACAAGGCCCGAGTAGGTGAAAGGGCAGCACCTATAAACATTTAACAAGCCTTGAGTCCAGCGAAAAATAGTTCCTTCCAACTATGCACCAGGCAAGGCGAATTCCTAAAAGCGTGATTCATTCATTACAGTTGATTTCTAAGTGATGATACTTTACTGCTGGTAAGGAGATAATGTGAGGGTTGCCCTCAAAAGGAACATATTCAGACCCTTTGGAGCATTCTATCTACCAAGAATATCATCAGAAATTCAGACGGTGGCTTGTTCAGAGACATGACCATTGCATTACCATTTATAAGAGAAGCAATATGAATACTCCAGACGTCCAATATTAAGAGATACAGGTTAAATTCTGAAACATGGAATACTACATAGTCATTTAAAATGTCATGAAAAATTTTAATTGCGCAAAAATAACCAAAAAGGAAATTCTCAAAGTGCAATATATAGTTGACTCTGTATGGTATCAAAAAGTATAGGTGACATTTCTGTCTCTGTACTGAAGATTTTTTCTACTAAGAGCATATTTCTTTTAAAACAATAAAGATACCGCAGGGAGATGTTACTCCTTAACAACCACCTTTTCAGCATCATTCTGAGCTGCTCCCCAGGAGCCTCTCCCAAAGGAGGAGCGGTGAGCCTTCTCTGCACATAGCCACTCGGAGAGGAGCCAGGTGTGGAGCTGGCCGCCCACTCCAGGTGTCCCTGCCCCCACACAGGCCTCAGGGCCTGCACAGGCTGTGCTGGGCCATAGGAAGTGTCTCCTGAGCACCTGCTCTGCTAGGGTCACAGCGCGGCTCAGGATGCCGCATCATGGAAGGGGGCCCAGGCAGGTTGCCAGTATGCTTGTAATAGCTCACCTAGTGTTTCCATTTTGTTCTATAATACTTAATTTATCTTATATGTTATACTGGCTCACTGTTATCTTTTTTAAAAAAATAAAACATTATCTTCCTTTTCACCATCTATTAATATTTTATCAGGTAATTTTGCTTCCTTATCATTTTTTTTCTTCTCAATTTCCATCCCATGTACCCTTACTCTTTTTATTAACCCTGAGCATTTTAGCATCAATTCTTCTCATAACCTTTCATTATGACTTTAATCTTTTCCCTGCTTTAATTTTGAAACTCTGCCACCTGCTCTGTGTTACTGTCCGCTCTACAGCTTCTTCTGAGGGTAGCCTACAGGGGGAAGGGCAACTGTACATGACTTGGGAGAGGCATTTTCAGATGCCCCTCATGGCTCTCCCGCCTGTTCTGTGCAAGTGACCCCAGACACATCACCCTCACCAGGCCTGGCAAACTCCCTGGAGTCCACCCAGTGATCCCTGGACTGGCGGTATGAGTTCTACTCGACGCAGACAGGTGGCAAAATGTCAGCACAAAGGAAGAGCCCAGGAAGGTTGGCAAGGGAGGGCCCTCCCTCGGACCTAGCTAGGAGACAGGGAGGCAGGAAGGTGGTTCTGATTCCCGAGGAAGCCCGAAGGGAGGAAGGGTAGATTGCAAGCTGGCCAGCATCTGCCACACTCTCTCTTGATGTTTACTCCACCATAACCCCTCTCTTTTCACAGGATTTGAAGATCTTCTGGTAATGAGTACTGCCCCCCTCCATTATAAGCCCATCGGTACTGGGATTTACTGTAGTACTTAAGTAGACAGGAAACACAATCACATTATTTCAGGAAAATCATTCTGAAAGCAATGCATAGGATTACTCTCCAGATCTGGCAGTACATCAGGAACATGGAGAAAACTGTTAAAGTACAGATATCTAGAGTTAGTGAGTCTGGATTGGGGCTGCAGTGTTTCAGACACAGAACAAGGATCCAAGAAAATGCTGATACGATTACTATTTCTAGAAATGAGAAATCTGAAACAATGATTTATAGGGTAATCATGACAGTAAAGTCATCTAAATGCACATATGTCCTAGCTCTGGGTCTCCCGCAAGAGTCACAGATTCCTCAGGATACAGGGTTCTTAACCTGGGTTCCTGATACCCTTGGGAAGTTGGTGGAAGCGCTTCTAAGAGTCCATGAACCAATGAATGCTGTCTGGGTAGCTCTGCGGGCTAGTGTAATGGACACTCTTCAAGGGAAAGGCACATGTGAACCAGAGGAGGGCAAGAGCTCCTGGGATAAGAAACACAGACCTCAAGGAGCCGGGCGAGGCCCGGCCTTGACACAGTGGACCGGATTCACCGGGAGCAGCTTGAACAAGGCCTTCATACCTTCTACCCGGTGCCACATCTACACTGTGATAATGATGGTGCCAGCACAGAGCAGACCCTGGAAAAACCATGGTCCAATAAAGGAAGCAGAGAACAAATACCTCCAGGGTTGGGAGCAGCGAGTCCAGAGGGAAGTCGCAGCATGACCTAGAAAAAGAACCCAGCAAGGACAAGGGCACGCCCACTAGCACGAATGTCTGCACATGGTACCAGAGCACGTGGGACATGGGAGCCTCTTACTTACAAACGGGATCTGTGCTGTTGAAGGCAGGCTGGCAGTGGGTAAGAGATAATACAGTACTGCATGGCACTGAAAACCACACAAGGAAACGAGGTCCAGCTGGCTGGTTGGGCTCTTGCTGTAACAATAGCTGTCCTTCACACATCAGATAGGTATGTATCATCACACCCATCTCACCAGTCAGCAGAGGCACGGAAGGCCAGGCAGCTCCCCACGCCCACCAGGTCAGGTCTCCAGAGGGCAGCCTGTCAAAAAGAGCCCTGGGCTTCCCCCAGCAGGGTTTTCCAAACTGTACTGCGGAAAATCCTAGTCAATATGAAAGAATGACTAGTCAACAAAGCACAACTCTGAAATCTGCAGTCATATGCTGGGATTGGAACCCCAGTCCTGCAGCTCACTGGCTAAACATCTGTGGGCACTTACTTCACCTCTGTGTTTCCTCATCTGTAAAGGAGAATAACGATGGCATCTACTTCATGTCATTGTGAGAAGTTAGAGCAGCACGTGTCACTTCATAAGCTCTCAGAAGGTGGAGACACTATCACTATCCTTCCTGTATGAGGAAAGCCAAGCAGCTGGGGGTGTTGGCCCCACTCTCACCTCCACCCCAGGGATCTTTTTCCAGTTGTTTTGTGAACTCAGCTTCCTCACGGGATTTCACTTAAAGAAGACCATCCTCTCTGCTTTACTATAAATGGCAATAACAACAAAGTTTAAAAACCATCTCAAAAAATCAAAACCCATCACACGACACTTTACCTGTGTCGCTGAAGTCTATGAACTCCTTGGACAGTAAGTTGGTGAGGAGCTCCATGATAAGAAGCAGGTCCTGGTACTGCTCTTCCTCCGCAGTCACATCTATTCTCTGTCTCCCTAAATTATTCTTAGAATATACTTGCAGCAAAGTGAGGCAGGCTTCATACAAGTTCATAGCTTTGGACTGCAAGGACATATGCAAAAGTTATGCTACTTGGTACAATCTAGCTGGGACACAACTATTAAGTCAATTTTATTTTTTTATTTTTTATTTTTTGAGTTGAATTTTCACTCTGTTGCCCAGGCTGGAACGCAGGGGCACGCTCACGGCCACTGCAGCCTTGACCTGTTGGGCTCAGGTGATCCTTCCACCTCAGCCTTCTGAGTAGCTGGAACCACAGGCACGCGCCACCATGCCTGGCTAATTTTTTTATTTATTGTAAGACGAGGTCTCACCATGTTGCTCAGGCCGGTCCCCAACCCCTGGACTGAGGCAATCCTTTCGCCTCAGCCGCCCACAGTGCTGGGATGACAGGTGTGGGTGAGCCACAAAGCCTGGCCTTTTATTAAGTAAATTTTGAAATAACATCTAAATTAATTTACTCTGCATTCCAACAGCAGATCTAATGCTTGTTTTAAACTATATTAAACAGTAACAACATAATTTTAAAGAGCATATATTATGCTATTGGTACAGTTATGCTCAAACTACTAGCCTTATTCTAACAATAAAATCGCAGAACAAGAATTGACATTCTTTCCACATGGCTTCATCTAAAGTATAAGTCTATTTTAAAAGTCGTTTTGAAGACTCTTTTGAGGACTTCAGACATTATTTCAGGTACCACTGGCTAAATGTGAAGTCAAGCGCCTGCTGTTCACCCTCACTTTAAAGTGTGTCCCTCCCAAGGGGATGCTTGAGAAACAAGCTCACCTCTCCAAGGTAGCATATCTGTTTATGAGCAACCTCAACAAACACTTCGATGATGAGGTTGACGGTCTCGGGGGTGTTTTTGTACACTTCCATCAACCCGATGCAGTTGGTAAGGAAGTCCATCAAGAAGTTGAACAGGATGGCCACGTTGTCGATCTGCGTGGCCTCGGCGATGCCACACAGGGCCTCCAACGTGGCGGTGACCTCCTGCTTCACGTCCTCCTGCTGACACATCTGCGGGAAGTTCTCCTGGTTGATCACCCGCAGGAATCGCTGCTGAAGTGGCTGGAGAACCTACATGAGTAACGCAGGAATTTTCTAACAATGTTCCTCTAGGGCAAAAGAGAACTTTCTAGCGGTTTGGTACCCATGGTTTCTGTCTTTCCTCTCCTTGCTTAAATACTTACTTTCTAAAACATTTCTAAGCATTGGAGCAGGACGAGCACGGAAAGCAAAGGGTATCTGAGCCACATACTGTGATCCTGCTTAGAGGATCATCGTAGCCTCTGGTGTACATGGAGAAATAAAACACACCTCACAGGATCCTGCCACTTCCCTCCATCTTTTGTCAAGAAATGAGCCAAAAATAAAACAAAAAATAAAGCCACCATAGCAGGGCACAGTCAATCTTTTTCCTATAAAGGGCCAGATAGTAAACATTTCAGACTTCGCAGGTCACACCGTCTCTAGTCCAACTGCTCAACTACAACAGCACTGTAGGACAGAGGTGGCCAGAAGCAAGAACAAGTATGCATGCCTATGTCTCAATAAAACTTTATTTACAAAAACAGATAGCAAGTCAGATTTGGCCCATAGGCTGCAGTTCACCAATCTCTGCTTACACCAAGCTCTCACCTCTTCTCACAGACCATAACTTAATCAGTCCTGCCCTGCAAAGAAGAGTATTCATATTCAAGCAGATAAGTAATTCCACTTAAAGCTGTCCATATAATACAGTGATTTAAAGTAAAAATACAGAGCTTGACTTCCCTGGTTGTGAAGCCACGAACGGCTGCCTACTGCTGTACTGGGCCTTTCTCGGATCTCAAAAGCATTCCAGACACAAGGACTGTAGGTAGAGACCCACATTCACAATGGCAACTCCCGAACTCTTGTGGAAAGCCTATGAACTACCCCGTGTCCATAGTGGTTGTTATGGATCGAATTATGTCTCCCAAAAATTAATATGTGGAAATCCAAACCCCTAGCACCTCGGAACATGACCTCATTTGAAAACAGGGTTGTTGCAGACGGAATTAGTTAAGATGAGGTTATACTGGAGTAGGGCAGGCCCCTGATCCAGTATAATGGGGGCCTCATGAAAAGGGGCTGGATACAGACACACCCACAGGAGAACACAATGGAAACATGAAGACAGAGAGCAGGGAGATGCATTGCCTGCAAACACCAGAAGCTACCGCTTTCACCTCACGGTCCGTGAAAGGACCCACTGCTGCCAATGCCTCCTCCTGGACTTTCGGCCTCCAGAAGAAGGAGACAGTACATTTCTGTTGTCAAGGCCACTAAGCGTGTGGTGTTTTGTTCCAGAAGCCCTAGAAAACGGATGTAGTTGTTCATCTGCTTGTTTCACAGATCCTCAAAGAAGATTTGATGAACTGGCTCAGGCCCTCAGCTGAGTCGGGGAGTGTGTGCCTATAGTGGCAGGCACCTGATGACACTCAATGGCATCTCACAGCAGCCATGGACAGGTCGTCAGAGAGTGTAACTAAGAAGCTTCAACTTAACCATTAGAAGGAAGAAACAGAAAAGCTACAACTGAGACATTGTCTCCACACACAATTTTATGGCAACACACAGAGGGTGCAATCAAAATAGAAGGCACAGTCACCTCTGTCCAGTACTGCTGTTTGGTTTCTGTGTCCATGTGTGCAAAACCTCCTAAGACCAGAGCCTTCATCAGTGTTCTCTGCACAGGACTCGACAGGAAGTTAAGAGGTGGGCTTCGGCTGGCAAACTGCTTGGCTAAGTTCCACCAGTTTTCACACTGGATTACTAAGTTTGCCCTACAGGTAGAAATAATGAAACATAAAAGGTATTGCTTTCATTATAGATATGCTAGGAAAATAAAAATTAAAGACAACTAGATTTAAGTCATTTTTCAAGCATAGTACAGTAAACTCAGTAAGACTCTGGAGTCACATAGGCTCCCACTAGTCATTGGACAATGTGTAATTTCCTTAACCTCTCTTAATCATCAGTTTTCTATAGTCTGCAAAATAGGGAGAACAACAGTAATAACAGTCCTAAATTTCATGGCGGACACTGATATAAAGATTAGAGATATACACATGAATGATTATCAGACGCTGCTGCCTAGAACAGTACATAGTAAATTATAAGAATCTAAAAAATAGCCAATGACAAGAGTAATAACAATAAAATGATATTCCTATAGAGTAAGAAACATGTAAATGCTTTCAGAATTGCTACAGAAAGCACTACAAATTTTACTTACCAACATTACAGTTTAAATACCGGTTTTTCTTGTCTTTAAAATGGGAATAATACTAACAGGATGTCTGAACATTCAAATGAGCTTATGATATAGTTTTAAAAGCATAGTACTCCAAAAACCATAGGTTCTACCTGGACTTAGGACTGTGTGACTGTTTGCCAGGTGAAAAGACTAGTCTAGAAAGCGTAAAAGAATTTCTCACCCCCACACAAACACATACAACAAGGGGCTTACCTTTCTCTCCTTTCCACCAAAGTGACAAGGAGCTGCACAGTGTCATTTGCAAGGTCCTGCTCACTACTCCAGACCGAGAGGTTACTGATGACTTTTTGTAAGAGGTAGCCAATTATCCACTGAGAACCCTCTGTATCTGCTCCAAATGCCGTACTGAATGGCAGACTTATCTTAAGAAAGGAAACACAATATTGAATGTCAGAAATAATGACGAATTGAAAAAAAGATTCGTAGAAAAATCAAACTGAAATTAGCATCTATATGTGAAGTAGTGTTTGTTTTTTGCACATTAACTTTACTTATGTATTCATTTCTGTGAATACATAAGTCAAAACACATTCTCAAACCACTCAGGTTTTCCAATGTGATTTTCCTGCAAACTTCCACTATTCTCATTATTACTGACACATCAGCATAATATTTAAACCAAATACAAAGAACATAAATCAATCTATTCCCAAATTATAATCTCCATCTTAATACTGGTTAAAATAAACGGAATCAAATGATGTGCTCTAAGAAAACCTACTAAAATAGCATTCCATCCATACAGCTCTCTTTAATGTGGAAGGTATTTAATTGCTCTTAAACAGTGATATTTTGATGAAATCAATAAGACAATGTTCCTGCTTCTATAATTGCCACCATCACTAATCCAAATGAAGTTTAACAGTTTTACATTCTGACCTGATCATACAGTTTTTCATCCACCAGGAGATAAGTCTTTGCCCAGCGTTTTAGAAACCAAACAATATCTTTGCCCATTTGAGGGCTTAATAGATGAGTGAGATCTGCTCTTATTGCTCGAGATTCAACTTCTGAAACTCTTAGAATGGCAGATAACAGCCTGTAGATACAAAACAGAAGTCATTTACTTTCTTGTCTATTTAGTGTCGTCTAACCACATTTTCTTCCCTTAAATGTCCTTTTTTGTTTCTCAACTCTCTGGACTTATGCAGGCTATATATATTTCAAAATTTCATCAGTAGTGTTGAAGGCAAATGTCCCATATTATTTCTGATCCTTCACTAAGAGACAAGATAAAGAAAAGGAAGAAAGTCAACACCAGAGACATCCTTCTGTTGAAGTTGCAATTGCACATGTGAATTTCAGCATTGCTGCCAAAAGAGAATTTTCAGATTGAAAATGGAGAGCTACGTCACAGTAAATGTTCCGAATACACACCAAGTTCCCTCAGTCCTCCATCACTACCTAAAATTCTTGGCTAGCAAGGTTTCTTTTTATGTCAGGTCATGTTACGGCATGAGATCTGGGAGCTGACTTCTCTAGAACGTTCTGAATATTGAGCCTTGTCTCTATAGCTGATAGTCCTACTTATTTCCTCACAAATTTGATTGCTCAAGGCATTATAAAATAAAAAATCTTGCTAGAAAGATTACCTACATAAGTGGACATGTGGTGTCAATGCATGCCATGCAAAACAAATAAAAATATCTTGGGTGGGGACAGGGGAACATTCAGAAATAAAATATGTAAACTGACGTGAGACAAGAGGCAAGAGCAAAGGATGCAATGGAAATAATCCACCACAGCACCAGGCAGTGAGTGTCAGCGCCAGGCCAGTGGTCCTACCCACTAGGCTGGGCTCCGCCCCTTCCCCAGTGCCCTCAGGATCACCACAGCACCATGCAATGATCAGAGCCAGGACGGGGGTTCCGCCACTAAGGCTGGGCTCTGCGCCTTCCTTCAGGAAGACAGCCATGAAGCCGCACAGACACACGCTCCTTGCCCAACTGGGTGGCCCCGAGGCCTGGCCCATGGTTGCCCTGCACTGCCCTTCCCTCAGTTGCTCTGGCCCTGCTGCCTGCACCCCGTCATCTATCTCTTCTCTGCCTTAGCCTTTCTGGCAGCCTCCTCTTCTTCTGACCTTCTCCCTTAAGTCTGGAAGAGCTTAAGGCTTCACCCAATTCTCTTCTTTTTTCACTCTCCAAACTCTCCCTGCACCACAGTGCTCAGACTCTTCAGAGTTGTTTTAAGGGGGTGGATGAACACAAAGACCCCAACAGCCTTGCATTGTATCCAAGTTGTAACTGTTTCAAAATTCCCCGTAAGATTAAATAATTTTAAGTATCATTTCCAGCCTAACAGAATTTAAAAGAAAATGGTCATGCTCACACTTTACACTGAAGTGCTGGAATCTAATTATCATAGTGTTCTGATACCCACCATCATCCACTTGAAACATAAAACACAACTGTGTTGTTTTTATTTTGATTTCATTTCTCCATAGAACAGTATCCTAATGTAATACATTTTTATAGTCAAGTATTTATTGATCATACTACATACTCTGATACAAATGTCAACATCTTGAAAGATAATTTTAAAAATTTCCAATGATCATAAGACTACTTAAAAGCACCTTCTGGATTGAGTTATTATCATAATACTTAAAAGTACACAATTGAACAAAACACAATACAAATTTAAGTAAATCACTAAACATAAAGCTCTACATAACTCTCAGTGGAGAGCTGTCCATCCCTCCTAGTTCATTAATCTTTGAATAAACATTACTTATCGCCAGATGGGTGAGGCCTAAGCATGATCTGGTTCCTATTCCCATGCTAATAGATACAGGCACCAAGACAACTTGTTCACATGAGCGGAATACATTACTTAAATGGCAGGGTCATCCAATCTTCCAAATTATACGCCAAAACTCACAGAGCTCTACCGCTGAGAAGTACATTTAATGCTTTAGTAGCTGACAGCTTGATTAGGGCCTCTTTATGCTGCTTAAAGACCGAAACGTGCTGGCTGTACACTCGCAGGCCACCTTTCTTTGTGAAGTAGAGAAAAGTTCAAGAAAAAGTCACTGGGGAGGGGGTTGAGAGCAGACCCCAGGGAGGCCCGCAGGAGCCCCTCTCCTGCCTGGGAAGAGCAGCTCTCCATCTGGTCTCCAAGACTCCTCAGAAAGCTGCTTTCCCCCAGCCTTGCCCGGGGTAGCCCAGCACCAGAGAACAATGCCTCCAGGGTGACACCTCTCCACTGTGTCCTGTGTGTCTATGTTCTTGCGTGTCCTCACTCCCACTCACCGTGCCCGCCCTGCTTGTCCTTCATCCCACCCACCCCTCCGTGGCCCGCCCCTCCTGGGTCTTACCCCAGCCACGTCTGCACTAACTTCCTCTCCCCAAGCCACTCTCTTAAGGTCTGTGCTGCAGCATCAGCAGGTCAAGGTTTCCAGTGCTCTTCCCCTACCCTCACAGCTTCTCACTCCCTAGGCATATCCTCAGAGAAGCCAGCAGACCAGGGCTCCCAGGCGCTCTCATGCCCCTTGTATACACTTCTATTGTGTCCTCAAGTTCTGGCACAAAGGGGAGCTCAAGACACTACTGACAAAAACCTCAAAATAGTTTTTAAACTACTAATGTTGACCCGGCTCCGAGGCTCAGCCAGTAATCCCAGCACTTTGGGAGGCCGAGGCCAGCAGACCCGAGCCCGAGGGTTCAAGACCACCCTGGGCAACTTGGCAAGACCTCATCTCTACAATAAATAAAAAATTAGCCGGGTGTGGCAGCGTGTGCCTGTAGTTCTGGCTACTGGGAAGGCTGAGGCGAAAGGACCACCGGAGCCTAGCAGGTTGACGTTGGGGTGGCCGTGAACATGCCACTGCACATCAGCCTGGGCGGCGAAGTGAGACTCCAACTCAGAAATAAATAAATAAATACATAAATACATAAAATAAACTGCTGATGTTCCAAAACTGCGACCCTAGTTCCACTTTGAGTTCTCCAGCACGCTACCTTAGAACAGAGTCTAGGTGGCAAGCGCAGCTTCTCCTATCTCTAGCCCACCCTGGTTACATCTGCACTCCACAAGCCAAGTTAGGACAAGGGCTCTCTCTGGCCCACGGTATGCACAGCTATCATGCTGACCTGGCCATCACCTTTCTCTTGGCTTCTGGACTCACTCCTGATGGATCTCCCTGCGGCCACCATCTCCTATGTGTGCAGCAGTCACCTTTGTCACACAAAAGTTACTCTTCTGCTCAAAATACAACAGCAACCCTCTTCACTCGGGGCCAAAGCCAGAGACAAGGCAAAAGATGAGGACCTTCTCGGCCCTCCTTCCGTTTCCCGAACTCCATCTCCTACAAACCCTACCTCCCCCTGCTCTATCCGTCATGGCATTCCTGCTGCTCTCGATCACGCCGTGCCCATCCAGGGCATCTGCACGTGCTGCCTACTGTTTGGAATGCTCTCCCCCCAGACACCTTCACGACCTCCCCTCCAACTTCGGCCTCTGCTCACAAGGCACCTCTAAGAGAAGCCCACACAGACCACACTGTGTGTAACAACATGACCCCAAAGGCTGCACGCCCAGCACTCTCACCTGTTTGGCTTCTTGCACACAGCACTTGCGTCTTCTACCACAGCACATCACCTCCTGTTCTTTCTCCCTCACGAGGAGCTCTGCCTGAGAAGCGGGACCCCTAACACCTCCAAGAGTGCCTGGTACAGTCAGCACTCAATCATTTCTTAAATGACACCTTCTTCAAAAAACGTGAACTATGTTTACAGCTAAATAGGGAATGTTTCTCTCATATATCATTAAATTTCACATTAATTTTTTGGATTTAAAAACTGGCTTTTTTTTTTTTTTTTTGGTCCCAACCCTCCATAGTCTGTGCTCTTATTTGCCAAAATGTTTTGCTCCCACACTGACACCTGGGACTAGCAAAAACTGAAAAAGCACTTAAAATATAAGGAAAGCATTCCTGCAGGTACTTCCCAGGCCCAAAATATAACACATAATACACAACCTACAGCACCCTGAAATAAACTGCCTTTGAAATTAACATTCACCACAAACCAAAACAAAAGCACTGATTTCCACAGAAACCAAATCTAATGACTTATTAATCCCAAAAGAGGTAAGACTTTTTCAATAAAGTACTGATATTTTATTTCAAACAAGAGAGTGCATGATAAAGAAATAGATTCCCAAACATTTCCTTGATATTAGTTTAATATTCCAAATTTTTAGAAATCATATTTTCTACTGCACAGGTCTAAATAACAGCTATACATTTTTGCATTAATGAAAGAATGAAGAGGATAGCGTCCTGTGTGAGTTACTGATTTTGCAACTGACAAAATCCGTTATTAGCATTACTGACATCTCTGCCTGCAGCCTAAATATAAGTTAAAGATGGTGGCATGTAAAATGTTGTTTTCAAATTCACTTCAGCAGCACATTTAGTCCAAGTTTCCCCCTCTCTGACAACCCCATGAAGAACTGAAGACATTCTGCCATTACAACCAGGCAGGTTAAAGTGACCCCCACTCCTGTAACTGCCCAACAGGGCTCTCACTTTTCACATATTCGGGGTGAACATTTCCACTTCACAAGACAGGAGACACAGCTTTCCTGAAGAAAGCTGCTGAGACACAGTCTCCGACTTTATGAACACAATGTGCCAGTGCGTGTCTATGTCAGTGCACGTCTGGCTGCCCTCCCGTGGGACGCCTGCACGCCACGCCACCCCCCACCCCCCGTGCAGCGCTCTGGCAGACGCGTTCGGCTCACAGGACATCAGACCCAGTGTCCCTTCTACACCACTGGATTCAGAGTAACCCGACACCTGCTTTCTTCAGTGCTGCACAGTTGTTGCCTCTCACTAGACTGGCACAGCCTAAGGTCACTGAGCACTCGTCATCCTGTGCACTTCAAGGCTTCTCCAAGTTTTCTTTTTTCCCATGTATCCAATTTACAACGTGCCTATCGCTCCAGTCATCTACCCATCAACTCAGAATGTATAAAACAGCATAAAGTACAAGAGCACAGCTATAGAGTTCATATTACCTAATCACAGAATCTGTTCTGTTGTACCCTGGGATGGAAGAAGCCTTTTCTCCTGGAGATCCCAAAATTTGAAGTGTTGTATTAATGTCAACTTCAGATGAATGCTTAATGGAATATTCCATTATTTCTGGAGGTATTAGCGGAGTCTCTCCCTGAGTATCATCAGCTAAGAGGTAGCCTTCAGTTTAAAAAAAATTAAAATGAACACTTAACAAATCTACATTTATCAAATTGCACTATAAATTTTTTCAGTTTTGATTTATATACATCATATAAATTGATGTAAAAGCAAATTATAAATTTTAATCTGCTAATTTCAAGTTGAGGAGAAGAAACTTTCTATTTCTCAGATAATTAACCCTCAAAAATACAGAAAAGGACAAAGGACAAATGTTTTATTCACCAGTTTTATAATTCACAGGGACATGTAAGCTCTCTAATCTACTATTTTTTAATAACTTCAGTAACATATTCTATAAAGTTAATAGAAATTCTGCTACATTGGAAGTCGATATTGGGGAATGTCCTTTCAAAAGTCAAGATTTTTTTCCTATTTATTGAAAATACAGAAACATTAATCATGGAGGTTAAGGAAGAAGATTCTAAAAGTCAGACTGCCTGGATGTGCACTGTGGCTCCAAAAATTAGCAGCAGTGTGACCACGGGCTAATTTTTCAACCTCTCTGAGTCTCAGCTTCTGCATCGATGAGATGGAGATAATGATGATGATGATAATGACGACAATACCTAACAGAACTAATTCCGTGGGCTACTCACTATGAGATGCACACGAGACATTTGGATGAAATAGACACTGCATAGACATTAGCCAGTGTTTTTTAAAAATGCATCCATAGCTCCATGACAGAAAAGAATTGTATCCAAATGTCGTCGAATACTATGTACAAACTATTATTTTTAACGTACGAAGTTTCTTTTAAGAAGCTGTTCAGTTGGCAATTACACTTTAAAAGAAGCAACCAACCAACCTGTAACTAAAACAAGCCAGTGAATATCTTCATAGAGGTCATCAAGCGTTTTGTTGTCAACAGTGCTTGATCCAGGGGAAGCGAGTAATTGTTGCTGATGTCGTTGTAACTGACCATGGAGCCTTGTTACTCTTTCTTCTAATAAACTAAATGAGGAAAAAACCAACAGCTTCACAAAAGCCAATAAGCAGAGACCTGGAACAACCTATGAATTCCACATATCAGACAACATGAGTTAAGATTGAGATATTAGCGCAAAAACACAAGTACAGAAATATTATGGTACACAGCTGTTCTCATTGCACTATAAGAATTATAATTTATTGTTTATGATGTCAGATGAAAACATTGCTTTACAAACAATCAAGGTTTACAACAGGCATTTGAAAACTGGTTACTCCAAGTTTTACTGATATGGGTCAGATCGTTTCTCATACCATGCTTTCCATAATCTCTTTGCCATCTATGCTGTAGTGCCTGGGCTCCAAGTGTACAAGCCAAGGAAGGCAATCGTGAGTGAGTTTCTGTCCATTTGTTCCAATGTGCTGGGACACGGGGTGGGGGTGTTTAGTCCTTAAACACTTTAAGTGCTCGCCGGGGAATTGTGAGTAAGAATATTTGCTCCATGGGGTTTCTTTGGACCGTGTGTACCTTGTCAGAAGAGGTATACAGTGTTCTGCAGCAATTCTTCCTAGCATTCCTACACTGGCCAGTTGGTCAGAAAATTGGTCTCGATCATCCTCTTGAAGTTCACTGATTTCTTCTTCCTCACGAGAGGCCACGCCATTGGCAGTCTATTGCAGATGAGAGAGACAGACAATAAAGGACTGCACTATCTGCTCCAGGAAACCTGTAATTCTGTAGCATCAGAAAAACACTCCAGCGCTGCTTGGGGACAGGGAGCTGAGCTGGCCAGAGCCCATCTTTCAGGGCAGCTACCAAGGAACGCCCTTCTAACTCTGTCGACAGCCCTGGTGCTCACAAAAGATGGGGGAAGCACATGAGAGAGAGAAACAGAGATTTCACCCCACAGCACACACGGCACACAAAGCTAGCTACACACCCACAACCCATGTCCCACATCAGAGAATTTAACTTCTGTCACTGAAAAATGCCGCCATCTTCAGGATCCATGGCCCAAGTCATTCATGTCTCTTGACAACCACAAAGACAGAGGTGGATAACTGAAAACTGCAGAAAAGGTAACTGAGGTAAGCATTGAGAACCCATTTAGACCAGGATCATGGGTGCCCTCAGCAAAGCTTCTGAGGGTCCATCCTGCTCTTCTGTACTGTATAATGTATAATAAGATGAAACAGAGCCTATAATGAAATAGGCTTTCAATTACCATCTGGCTTAAAACTTACCAAATTCCTTGTGCCATCTGGAGCGGCTAGGTGGCACTGAATATAGGAATTGAAAACTTGAACTGCATGCTGGGTAAAAAAGCCTTTATGGAAGTGTTTGTCATCTTGGACCAAAGTAAGCCAGGACTCCAGCAGTTTGTCATATGCTTCCATGTACACCATGTCATCTTTGTCAAGCTAAAAGAAAAGCATACTTATAAGATAAATATCCATAGAACTAAAACGGACATTATAGCAATGGTCATGTGACCACACACAGAAAGAGTTTTAATTATTCCTTTAACAGAGCTTCCCAAATATTAGTAAGTTTTTAATTAAACTTTCTAGAATCATTCTAACTTCAATCTAAATCCTTAGGTAATCTGGAATTAATGTTTACTTTAAAAACCAGCTGTTAGTGCTTTGTGGAACATGTATTTGTCAAACAAAAATAACGCTAACATTTTTCTGTAGTCAAGAAGAGAACTGGTAGAACAGAATGAAATGTGCACATCTTACAAACTTCAAAATGATTTTAGAGAAACTGAAGAATGATCACAACAGACTGACCTTATCAGCATATTTAAGAATATGTGGGGATAATTTCATACATGCGCCTTAACAAGAAATAGCTCATTTTATAACCAAAAAGAAAAGCAAATTCCACGCAGCAGAAAGGTAGCGTCTTCCAAAATGTTAGGATCCAATGGCTCAATTCATAATCTTAGGGAAATATCAAAGTGTCCCTTCCTCAGAGAAAAATCAAGTTTGACAAGCACAAGCACAAGCACTTTGTGAAGGTGGGAATGAATCCCTTTCTCTCTTTTTGGTTCATTTCCATTAGTTAATTTTTCTTCTTACCAAAAAAACACATGTGGAGAACTTAGAAAAAGGGACAAGTGGGTAAGATGAGGGAAGGCCAGGTCTGTGCTGGCCCAAAGCTCTGGCTGGCCAAGTAGCTGGCCGGAGCACCACAGAGCCCCCAAGCAGACCCTTCGGGCCCACTCACAAGACTGCGAGCCACACATGCTGCAGAACTGTCTCAGTAAGGTCACTTAGTGTGTTCTTCTTAATGTTCCTCTTTCCTGCTCGCCTTCATTTAGCTACTATTGAACTGACTTTGGTTTAAAACGGAGTTAAAATTTTATACCAAACTAAGCCACTGGGAAGGAAGAGGGAAAACCTCAGAGAATGAAGTCATCGCACCCTCAGGCGAGTCTACAGGTACTTGTGGCCCACAATATCCCTGAACGGAGCTAACCCTTTGCCAAAGGCCACCCTACTTGACAAAGCTGGAGAGGTGAGGAGGCAAGAAGGAACTGGGCATATGTGCCCACAGAGAGACCTAGTATCCCTGAGCTGCAGGTGACAGGCCCTGATGTAAGGAGGATGGGGTGACAGGCAAGGAGGGGATCCAGAGAGCCCGAGAGGCTGTGACCAGGACACACGGTTTCCTTCTTGTTGCAGCAAGAAGCTGCTGCCATGCTTGAGCACAAGTGATCCCATATGATGCAACTCTTTATGAGAAAACTACATGGCCTGCAGGCGAAGCATGGCGGGGGCTCTGGCCAGTGGAGGCATTGCCTAGTGGCCGAACTGGGAACAGATTCTGAGAAAGCAAGGGTGGCAATGGACTGCTAACCTGACGGCAATGGACTGCTATCCTGATGCCAGGAAGACCTCTAAAATGCAGAAGACTGGGGGGCAACGACGTGTGTGTGTGTGTGTGTGTGTGTGTGTGTGTGTGTGTGTGTGAGACCAAAGGCTGTTCCCTTGGATGTGCTGAGTCTGAGGGGCACCAGGGACCCTAGCGGAGTGGTCAACAAACCAATAAGTTGAGGGAGGAGGTCAGAGCTGGAAATACAAATGTGGGCATCATCTGCATACAGATGCCCAAGCACCTATTCTTAAAGTTGCATCCAAAAACATCCATCTAGAAGAAGGTGCTGATGAAGAAGAGGATGAAGACAGGGCCCTCACAGGAGCCCAAAGAAGGTGCTGGGGTAGGGGGAGGAGGACCAAGAACACATAGTGTGACGGGAGCCAAGGTGGCCAACACGACAGAGGCAAGCGAGTAGACAGAAGTGATATTGTCTGGAAGGAGACTAACGGTGACATGGGCGTGGGCATTATGCTTTTCCCCACGTACAGGCTGTCCTAAAACACTGCCCTGGTCAAGCATTCTGCCATGCTGAGAAGGAAGATCAGACACACTGCCTGAGGGACTGCCTCGCTTTCTAATTGCCATCGCTATGCTCATTATGCTATTAATTAGTCCTCTGGATACATAATTTAGCCTATGGCCCCATTTCTTCATCTACAAGTTCACTGGCTCACACTACTCGAGGACACCCCAAGAACTCAGCACATGTCACACACCAGTCTTAGAGCACAGACATGGTGACGTACCATGCGTGCTCCTGGGCTGAGAGTGAAGAGTGAGATGCAAACAGACGTTTCAGAAACACGAAGGGCCAGTCTGTAAGAAGCATGCTCTTCAGGGTCAGTCTCCCACACAGAGAAAGTAGCAGAGTGCGTGGACCACCTACCCGCTCCAAGAAGGTTTTGGAACAGCCCACAGTCACTGATATCCTGCTCATCACTGGTAAATCCAGGAATGCAAACGGTCTCCAGGGTCAACCTGCACTTGGTTTCCTGGTTGGTTTCTAGGCAAATGTACAGACCCTCACCTTGCCAGCACAGAACTCTGGAACCTTTATCAAAGTACAACTTCAATCTGTGATTCTAACGATCTGTCAGCGACCCAAAAAAGGACAGTGATGGAAGCTCCGTTCCAGATGTTCCACACTGCGCTGGCTCACCACAAAACACCACCACGGTACAGCAATGACACACCCAGGGAACTGAACCGGGCTTTCTTATTTATGCCCTCAGATTTTATGACCTCACATTAGGACCTCCCAAAAGCACTCACTATCTGGGTCCAATGGACTTTTTCTAAGTCTTTAATATTCTTAAGCCATTTGTGAAAGATTTACATAAGAATAAAAGGACAGAGTATAGAATATCTTTCTTTCTTTTTTTCAAGTTGGAGTCTCACTCTGTCACCCAGGCTGGAGTGCAGTGGCAGGCTCATGGCCACCATAGCCTCGACCTGCTGGGCTCAGGCGATCCTTCCACCTCAGCCTTCCAAGTAGCTGGAACTACAGGCACACACCACCATACCCAGCTAATTTTTTGATTTACTGGAGTAATGAAGTCTCACCAAGTTGCCCAGGTTGGTCTCGAATCCATGGACTCAGGTAATCCTCTCACCTTGGCCTCCCAAAGTGCTGGGATTATAGGCGTGAGCCACTGCACCTGGCCCAGGGCAAAAAATTTCAATAGATAACTTTAATAAGAACTTAAACAGGCCAGTTGGGTGACTCAGCCAGCACTCTGAGAGGCCGAGGTGAGTGGATTGCCTGGCCCTGCGGGTTGAAGACCCACCTGGACAACTTGGCGAGACCTCATCTCTACAATAAACCAAAAATTAGCCAGGCATGGTAATGCACGCCTGTAGTTCCAGCTACTTGGAAGGCTGAAGGCGGAAGGATCGCCGGAGCCCAGCAGGTCGAGGCTGCAGTGGCCGGGAGCGCGCCGCTGCACTCCAGTCTGGGCAACAGAGTGAGACTCCAACTCAAAAAAAAAAAAAAGAACTTAAACATACCAATCCAAATTTGTATTCCATTTTTTCCTGGTCTTAAAACTACAAATATACTGAAAATAGTATACACAGGCAATTCTTGTTATTTGTGGTAGTCAGGCTCTACAAAGTTGCCACAAATACTGAATTCTACTGCTTCTAGGAAAATGACAGAGTTAGACTGTGAACCTCTGATCGCAACATGTTTCACCAAGTACGGGTGAACTGATCAGTAATCTGGTTTTAAGTGTGCTTCTGTTTAAAGACACTTCACATATCTTCTAGATTCACTAGCACTGAACTTGCAACCCAGAGCACCACCACTCATGCCTGAAGGAGGTCTCTCTAACACATGCATCATCTAAGCAGGGAACATCGCTGCCTTCTTGTACTTGGGAACAACAGACAGCAGGTCAGCACTACCCTTGGGGGCCACTTAAAAAAGTGAAATGATCCAGTCAGTCAATGCCTAGGAAAAGGCTCAACAATTTGTGACAAGAGTTTGGAACATCCCATTTAGTATAAAATGTGAAACACATGGCACTAAACAAATCATGAAAGGCATGCTTGTGTACAGGGTGAGAGCCAAAACAAGAAGGCAGAGTGTTGCCTTCCTTGACCTCAGCCAGGAACACGCCGTGCTGGATGATGGAAATTTTTTTGGCACTGTGCACATGCACATGTTCACAAATGACTGCTAAAGGGCTAAGAGTGTGATCTGGGGGTTGCAAGTAAATTTAGCACGGAAGTGAATTTGCAAATATGGAATGTGTGGAAACTGAGGCTCAACTGTGCTTGCAAGATCTCCCTTAACAGGCTTGAATGTGTTAATGCTGCTGCTTCTCACTCAGGTGTCCTCAGAACTCGCTGTACTTTTCTTCTGACTGCAAAGATCCAGAAGAGAATGCGAGGCGCTTCTGAGAACTTGGATGGCTTTTAATTTTGTTGAAGAAAGATGTCATATTCTTGGCTCCATAAATTCATTAACATATTCATTTAGATTTATGAATGCTAACGAAAATTATCAATCCAAGGAATATGTTTCATTTCTACATCCTTCATTCCCTTCCAGTCCCCTTTGTACAAACTCCTTTCAGCTCTGGTACATTACAAACTGTATCAAGCACATCTGCTGCATGAACATCAAAAAGATGAAAGAACACAGTAAACATCCCCCCCGTTCCCCTCAGCAAAATAACAAAACATGATGGGCTACACTCTTGCCACAAAATAGTGGATGATGCCGTTTTTCCTGTGAAATGACTGACTGAATGAAACTATCATATTTCTTTCTGTCTTTAGAAATATATCAGTTGCTCATCGACTGGTAAATCTGAGAAAATGTATCTATGATACCATCAGCTAAAACTCAGTCTGAGATTTCACTAATTCTACCATCAATGTTGAAGCCTAGAGTGCTACTGTCTCTTGACATTCATCACCTGATTCATTCAATCACTGTGATATGGCTTATTCTATCCATTTCCTTCTCTTTGTTATGATGGACAGAGAATGAAAAATTCTGAATTCCAAACTGTGGCTAATAAAACTT